ATTTAAATATGTCTATTTACATATACAAGTATATATAGTTGCTTTGCACAGAAAGCCTGTCAACACCTATAGCAACATTGTATTTAATATTGATTTTATTTATATTTTTTAATTATTTGTTTCACTATAAACATGAAAAATTTAATACTTGTATAATAAACCGAGTTTTAAATCTTCTTTCAACTTAGACCAAGTTAAAAAAGGCTTATGGCGCCTCATTTTATCTTTGGCTACAAATATAAGGATGAGATCCACAGCCTTTCCTTTAACATTTTTCCTTCTCCCCATTTAAAATCCCTAGTTCACATCAGCATCATTCTCTCTCAAGCAGCTTCTTAAGCCAAGAGATTTGACTGTTGGGAATACTAGTATATTTGTGATGGTTTCCATGGCTATAATTTCAGCCACCTTAAAAAGCAAAGCTATGGCATATCACGAACCCTCTGCCTCTTCTTGACATCTTCTAAAAGGAAAGCTATATGAGCATTCATGGCAGGTCAGGTTGCATGGTCTGTGATCTAAATGTCTTTTTTTTTTGTTCTCTTTCTGTTATTTTTGTGATGCATTTAATTTGCTTGTATATATGCAAATGCACACTTTAGTCATCGATAAACAGGTTGTAGTATCTGTTTATAGCAAAAAGTATATTTGTCTATTAAGTACCCTCTTTTTTTTATTTTCTAATGCTCAAGAAATTCTCCACTCTGATGTTTGCTGAAATACATGTTGGGATTTTTTAAAATTTCGTCATCTAGTTAGGCTTTCTCTTTTCAGTATACCATAAAAGCTTAAATATTATCTTAATAAGAATACATATATGATATAATAATAAAATATTTAATTCCTCAGTATAACTTAAAAAACCTTCCTGAATGGGATATATGTATCTGAGGGGAACAAAAGGTCTCTAAAAATAAATCTCTAAGGTAACAGTTTTGACCTCTTTGGCATATGCAATGCTAACCTTCTGCTTCTTATTCTGCCAGGCCTCTCTTAGTGTATGTGAATCATTAGACTGAAAGCAGCAGGGTTAGAAGTGTGCAGATATATATATTTATTTAGGGAGCTGAATGTCAAGCAGTTCCCTCCTCTTAATAGCTGATGATTTTACAAGTCAGACATTTTCCCTGTGCTGTCACTCCGGTTTGGGTTTCACATGAGATCATCTTGGCACTTGCAGTCTTGGCAGGCAGGCTGTGTGCTCTCCTCTTCCTCTTCTGCTGATGTGCCTTCAGCCTACTGATCTGTGGAAGGGAAAGCAGCCATCAAAAGGAAATCCTCATCTTCAGTGCTGCAGTCACTAACTTCTCCAGACGCCTCCACTGCTGCTTCTCTTTCATCTATGTACTCGTGGTAGCCCATTAAGTACTGGCTGGTGTTGTGGGGCGTGCACATCCCTGGCAGGCGGTATCCTGCCAGGTTCATGGGCCGGAGACACGCTCTCGCCTCTCGCCGTAGTGCTGCTGGCAAACGTGAGGTTGTGATCCAGCAGCGCTTCTTTGCATTCCAGAGCAGTTCGCTCTTTTCATCACTGCCACTCTGCTCCCTTGCCTGGTCTTGATGGAGGGGCTCAGTGCATTGTAGTGGTTGTCGCTTCCAATTCCTGCTGCACTTGTGATCCTGCCACTGTGCCTTCCCAGTCTGCTTCTGCTGTGGTCCGTGCACAGGACTACTGTGCTGGCCACCCTGTCTCTCACAGCCATTTGAGGAAGATGCACAGGGGTCCTGCTCCATGAGGTCCTTCTCTCTCTTCTGTTGCCCTCGCTGACCGTCTCCGTTAACGTGCCTTCTGTCCCTGTGCTTCCATTCCTGCTGTTGTCTCCTGCCCCTGCCAGCCCTGTTGCTATACAGGAACACAATGAGCATGTCTTTTGCCTGTACTTGGTGGCCCTGCCTTGGTCTCTTGTCCCTGTCCTCACCTTGCTGTGCCTTCTTGCGCTGCCCAGCAGTGACGGCAGCCAGCAGCATGGCACAGCTGGGGGAGCAGTACGGGGGTTGGTTTTCCCTCCAGCCGCGGCCTGGCCCTGCAGCCATGGCCCCATGGCAGGTGCTTACCTGGCAGGCCGGTGAGGGAACCTTGTACCTTGCCCTCTCCATGCTGACACCCTGCTGTCCTGCAGAGGCTCTTCGTGTGGGCACTCTGTGACAGACTGCCGTGCCACCCTGCCTGGAGGAGCCAGCAGTGTGTGGCAGTGACATGGAGCTGGTGACCAGGGCACATTCCATCGGTCAGTAGGGGGCCCCTCCCATGTGGGCCCTGCAGGCCCAGGCCAGGCCTTGCTGGAACAAATCCGACCTCTGGCTCTGTACCATCACCAGCCCTGACACCATCACCGGCCCTGGGCTGTGCTTCCCTCCAAACACCTCATGGAACCGAGGGAAAGTTGTCCTGGGCACCTGGTGAAGAAGAGTGTGGAGGGACTAAGTAGCTGTCAGGAGCTGGCACAGAAAGTCAGCACCTTCAAAAAGCCTTTCTCACCTCCTGACTCAAAATCCTGTATCCAGCCCTTTGTGTCAGCTGTTGAATGAATTCCTACTTTTTCACTGTGGAAGGTGGAAATATAGATACCAGGCTTGTCTCAAGATTAATTTTCTATACACGGCATATTGGAATAACACCAGGTACAATTTGTAGCATCCTTCTTGTTGGCTTTTTGTGATACAGAATACAAACAAATAAATTACAGAATTACAGAGTGGTTTGGCCTGAAAGGAATCTTAAAGATCATCTAGTTCCAACCTCCCTGCCGTGGGCACATCTTCCACTACACCAGGCTTCTCAAAAACCCCAGCCAGGCCTTGAACACTGCCAGGGATGGGACTAAATAAAATAAAAACTAATTTTTTTTTGAGAATTTTTTTTTGAGTGTGTTTGTTATGGTGAGAGAAAAAGCTTTATAGATAACAGCTATGTTGAAGAAGAGTGTCCTCATTTTCATCACACAAAGATAAGGATGGGGTTTTTGGGGCTTTGTTTGTCTTTGGAAGTTCACACATTTTGTATTGCCGAGAATAGCTGGGTATTTATTGTTTTAGGTTCCCCATCCATCCACTGATACTGTCAGACCAGGCTTATAGTAAGTGATGCATTTAGACCTTTTAGACCAGGAACTGTATTTGTCTTTTGCTGAGAGCTATCATCAAGGACTCTGAATTTTTGTACTTAATGATTAGAGCATCTGTATAGTATCATGCCCTACAATAAATTGTTCTGATGGCATTTATAGTCTACTTATTTAAATACAAAAAAAAAACTTTATAAAATAATCGTTTGAAATACGCTACACAAAAAAGATTTTCCTCTTTTTTAATTTTTTTTTAATTTTTGTTTTCTAGGTTGGTTAAAAAACCCCAAACAAAATACCAAAGCCAACCAAACAACCCCCTCAACAAAAACAAAAGCAAAAATATTTCACATAATCTTCCTTTGTTTTTATCATCAAAGAATTTTCCATTCCTTCAGCTTTCATTAGAGATGAAAGAGAAAAAAATTGGGCACAGGGTTGAGTTTACCAAATAAGTAAAGACAAGCCGTAGTGTCAGGCTTTGGTATGATTTCAAGTGTCACTATTTAACAACACACGATGGCAGTAGCAGTCCATGAAATGATTAGCTGACTGTACATGAGTGAAACAAAATCTGCCTAGGGCCTTTTTTTTATAGAGATAGCTATAGTCTTTGCTTATGAATATTGACAGTTCTGAGCCCAGCTCCACAGAGAAATTAATTAAATTAAAAAAAAAAATAAAAAGAGGAAGGTTCACAGTCTTTTCTTGATCAGGGTGACCCTAGATGTTATCCCAGGTACAGTTTGTGATCCCAAACTCCATGTAAGAAGTGGCAGATTGGTGCTTTCATTAACCACAAAGACTTTTTGGAAAGCTTTCTGGCTTATAATGTTAATTATAGCAAGTTCTGCAGTCATGCCAGGCATTCTTTATCTCCTGGTCATTTTGGGGATCTCCTCAATCAAAGATTTCTCCAGCAGCCCATTTAGCTTATAACACTCCCTTATCTGTGATCAATTTTGAATGAGGTATCAAAGGTGCTTACTGGATAGCCATATTGACTAAGCATATACAACTTTTTTCAAACTGCATTACCACTTCAGTTTCATTGCATCAAGGGAAAGTCTTTTAGACATGTGGCTTAATCCTCACAATTATGAGTTTGATTTAATGTCATTACTTGTCTCCCTGTTGAACCCTGATAGCTTCAGCCTTTCTGCAGAACATACCTTCATGTATTTACTTTTAGGTGAGATATTTACTAGAAAATAGACATTTAGCATCAACTCCCTGTAACTTAAAGTAATTACATGGTTGAGATTCTCGTGGTTCTCCTAAGTTGAGTCTGTGGCTGAAGGAGTATTTGTACTGGTCAGTGGATTGTGCTGCTGAGGTAATCCTGTATGCTTCCCAGCTCCAGAACCCAGCAGCAGAAATAGCTAAGTTAACAGGATTTACCAAGAATCTCATCAGCACTACAAAGATAAATTATTGCTGCAAAAATATAGATAGATTATGGGAGGGTAATCTGAAGGAAAGATTCTGTTTTCTGAAGAAAACATGTTTTTTGGAAGATTGCTAGTACTTTTTCAAAATGAAGGGATCTTTAAGGAAAGAAGTAGAAAAATAGATGTGTCTCCGAGAGAATAATATTTATTTAAAATAAAACCCAATAAATAATCAATTGTGTACACAATTTTATTTTTATTTCGTTATTTACCATATGATAGTTATACTTTAATATGTAAAATTATTTAAATTTAGAATTCATACATTAGATTTGAACAATTCAGCAAAAAATTTTGCATTTGCATTGTTTTTGTAGTAAAGTATTTTTCTTGATTTTGCTAAATAACTTGCAGTTGGGTAGATAAGGGATTTGTCTTTCAGCATTTCATAATCTTCTCAGTATCTCAGTAATAAATTCCAATATTAACAGAAATATTTCCTGAATAAATGATGTTTGTAAAAATTCATCCAGGTTAAAGTAGCTTAGATGAGGTTACCAACTGGCAAGCGGGGTAGACACATGTAAGCATAAGGTGTTTTGCTAAGGTTGATGGGATTACCATCCAGTCTGATGTCTTCAAGTGCCCTACGCACATAAGTAAAATCTCTCATTTTGCAGAAAGTATCTTCATGCATCTCTTGAATGTTGTTGTTCTAAAAGAAAACAAGCAAACAAGAAAGAAACTATCAAAATAGTTACCTGAAAATTATTTTTTTTACTCTGTAACACCATTTATGGATGTATTTTCAGTGTCTAGAGAGAGACTTGCTTGAACTCAAGAGCCCAGATTGTGGCAGCAAGTCATCAACAGAGAAATCTTCCAAGCAGGGGAAAATTTCTTGGGCAATGCAAAACTTCAAAACTAAGTGACTCAAACCATGTAGCAAAGACAAGTGTTGAAGGAAGAGCCTGGTAGAAGTATAGAACATTCTCATTTCCAGATTATAGTGAAGAGCCATATTAAGACAAATTTGATCCACGGTAGGCCAGTCCAAAAATCACAGAAACATAATTATCATCCTGACACCTTAATACGCCTCAGCCTGCAAAGGTACAACTCTGTAATTTGATCTGTGGCAATTTCTTTCCCCCCAGCCCTCTCACATTAGTTTAACTCACACCTGTATATATACTAGCAAAATTGAATGCTTTTGGTTTTATTCGTTTGATTTAAATTGTTCTTACATGCCTTACATTCACTGAGCTTCCATTCTTGAAGCTAACCATTCTTAACAATGAATTGCTGGAATAAAGCATTCCAGGAATGCTTTGTCCATTGTCAGGAAACTGGGACTAAAAAGCTCATTACCTAAAATGAGGGCTGAAAATTGTTTCCTTCTCCATTCCTTTGCTAGTGAAAAATTGGTGTGGACAAAGTCTTGCTCACTAACTTTTTTCTGTAGGACATAGCACTGAATATTTAATTTACAGGCACATACAGGTGAAAAGGAAGTCAGCTAGCAGGCAGAGAGTTTCAATAAATTTACTTACTAAATGTTCTAAGTTAAATGATGTGAGGTACATGACATTGCTTACTGAAAGGGGTTTTTTTGTATGATGAAGCAAGTAAAAACATCTGATAAACAAAACTGTAAACTGGTACACGAGAAAATAGAGGGAAAGAAGCAGAGCTAGAAAAGGTTAAAAGGAAGGATTCAAAATGAAACTATTAGATCATAGTAATTCTAGAATTTGATTTTTGAAAAATATTTGGTTTTTTTGTAAAAAAAATTGTATTACAAATTCTGAAAATTAATGCTTAGCTGAACTCAATTTTACTTCTCTAAAAAACTGCAATCACTAGTTAATTTTATGTTTCCCATAGCTTGTTTAGTCAAGTAAGAACACTTTTGGATAAAAAGAAGAAGCACTACAAGACAAATATTTGCCCTTCTGAGTTGTGCATATGCTTTCAGCATGATATAAAGAGCCATTTCTTTTGTAGCCTACCTGAAGATGAAGAGCTTGTAGGCTTTCAGGGAGTGGCAATGGAATGTGATCCAAGTTATTGTCAGTGATATAAAGATGCTGCAGTTCATCCAGATTCTAGAGGAAAATGGAAGAAAACAGAGGGAAATGAGAGACATATTTGAAAATCTCTGGCAAGTAAGTTTGAAATCTATCACTGCAATGAGCATCACTGGGTAGCAAAACATTTTGTTTCAGCATGATATGGTGAAAAGACAGAAATTCATGAATGAACTCTGATTTGCATAGGTTGAGAATGTTGCTGATAAGGGTTAGGTGTTCAGATTAAAATGAAGGGGAAAATGTTTTTCAAATATCTACAGAATTATTAAAGATGTCATTTTAATGATGATGTTGTTTCCTTTCTTTTGTGACAAGGCTAGTCAATTTTGCAGAAGCGTATTGTGTTGAAGCAAATTATAATTGTATAAGAAATGCCTGAGTTAAAAATACATTTCTCATTCCATTTCAAAAGGTAAATAATTTTCTCCCTTGACTTGTTGAAGGAATGAGTGCTGACAAATCTGGCAGACATTACAGCTAGGCTGCTCACAGTGGTCTTTGAAAGGTCACAGGGATCAGGAGAAGTGCCTGAGGACTGGAGGTAAGCCAGTGTCACCCCTATCTACAAAAAGGGCAAGGTGGATTTAGGGAACTACTATTCAGTCAGCTTCACTTCCATCCCTAGAAAGGAGATGGAGCACCTCATTCCAGAGGCCATCTTCATCCCCAGGGATAATAAGAAGGTGATCAGGAGCAGCTAGCATGGATTCACTAAAGGTAAATAATGCTTGACCAACCTGATTGCCTTCTAAAATGAAACAACTACCAGAATGGATGAGGAGAAAACACTGAATATTTTCTACCCTGACTTCAGCAAGGCTTTCAATGCTTTCTCTCATAGTATACTCAGCAAACTCAGGAAGTGTGGAGTGGAAGAGTGGAGAGTGGATTGAGAACTGACTGAACAGCAGATCCCAGAACGATATAATAATCAATGGCACAGTCTAGTGGGAGGTCTGCCAATAATGCTGTCCCTCAAGGTTCAGTGTTGGGCCCAGTATAGTTTAACATGTTCATCAATGACTTGGATGGAGGAACAGATGCCTCCTCAGCAAATTCACTGATGACACAAAGCTGGGAGCAGTGGCTGATACCGCAGAAGGATGTGCAGTGCTCCAGAAGGACCCCAACAGGCCGGAGAGATAGGATGAGAAGAACTGTCTGAAATCCAACAAGGGCAAATGCAGGGTCCTGCACCTGGTAAATAATAACCAGCAGTACAGACTGGGGGGCGATCTGCTGGAAAGCATCTCTGCAAGGAAGAATCTGGGGGTCATGGTGGGCAACAAGCTGTCCATAAGCCACCAGTGCCCTTGTGGCCAAGAAAGCCAATGGAGTCCTGGGGTACATTAGGAAGAGCATTGCCAGGAGGTCAAGGGAGGTGATCCTGCCCCTCTGCTCAGCCCTGGTGGGGCACATCGGGGGTGCTGTGCCCACTTCTGGGCTCCTCAGGGCAAGAGAGAGGCATGGAGCTCCTTGAGCAGGTCCATTTGAGGGCTACAAAGATGACTGGAGGACTGGAGCATCTCTCTTGTGAGAATAGGCTGCACTTCTAACCACATCCTCTGGAGAGAGGAAGAAAATGTTTTCCCATCACACCCAAACTTACTTTAAATGCCTCATTTGGTATCCCTCTGCGACCAAGCCTGTTCTTACTAACATCAATGAATGTTAAGGTAGATGGTAACTCAGGGAGTTGTCTTATCCTATTGTCACGGAGCACCAACTCCTGAAGTTGGGGCAATCTTCGGAAGGCATCCTTGTGGATGTCTGATATGAAGTTTGCAGTCAAATCAATCCTCTTTAAATGGTCTGGCAGAGAAATAGGATACAACAGACTTATAAGAATGTATTTCCTGAAATTTAACAAAAACCTGCCTGTGTCATTCTTTATACATCTTTCAGTGAAAGACTTCAAAGTTGAGTTTTAAGATTTCTGTGTCTTTTGGGAATCTTATAAATTATTACCTTTTGGAAAAATTACACTTGAAGGAAATAAACATATGTTTTACTACCTTGTTCCACATTTCCTATATGTAAGAAATTTGATATATTGACTTCTTTATAAAATATACTCAAGCCCTTTTTCCAATTAGAAACCCCCCAAAATTAAATTGAATATTTGGGGAGTTTTATTACTTTTCTAAAGATCAATTAAAGATCAAGTAAAGAGCAAGTAAAAGATCACTGATCATTGTTATTTATAATAATTCAAAAGTTTGACAGAGAATCTGCATCTAATCTATGGACTTTTATGCTCCAAAGTAACAAAATGCATGTGTTTTTATGTATAAAATTTACCATAATCAAACATTATATAAAATATATCACTATATATTTGGTTGATATGAGTCAGAAATAACCAAAATTAAAGCTGATTTCAATAATACTGCTATCCATACTTAAGTTAGCAAAGTCATTTCTGCTGATCTTCTTGATTCTGTTATAGCGTGAATAGAAATATGTGGTTTTCTTAGGCAATGGTGGAACAGCATGAAGCTCACGATCATCACAGTAGACTGTGGTCCCTAGGCATGTACACAAAAGGCAAGTGGGAAGACCTATCAAGGAATTTAAAAGAAAACACTTTGTTAGAAAGGGCATGAATAAAAGTCATGCATTAATTACTACAATGAAAAGCTCACATAAGCACCTAATGATCAGTCTTTGTCCACGGTAGAGTTCACTTCCCATTCTGCTTTGATCACCAAATCATATAATTGCAACACTAAAGTGATTAAATTCTTTTTTAAAATGAACTTGTTTTTCTTCCTGTGCCTAGAACAATTAACTTGTTCTAATAAATTGTTTCTCAGACTATAATAGACTACTTGGTGACAGCAACCAGCCAGAAGTTGATTTCCCCTTAAGCTAGCAGGTGTATGCTTCCATCTAGATGGAGGAATAATAGCTGATGAATGATTTTTTTCTACCTCATCTGTCTCTCTGACACCCTCTTTTTCTCCTCCCCATTTTATATTTCTTTCTACCTCTCTCTCTCTCCCCCCCTCACATTTACTAATAAATAAAATCCATCCTATTGACTTTGGCATATGGTCTCATTTACATCTTTATTCAGGCAGAGGCATTCCTCTAACAATTTTAATAACTGGATTGTAACACTTGAGACACTGACTTTTTGATACATCTTTTATAAGTATATTATGAGTATACATTATGATTATAAATCAGCATATCTGTTTTTCAGTTTTTAATCCCATAGAAATATTTTTCTGTTTCATGTTTTACTCCTCCTTGTAGCAGATGGGCTGGTTTGCTCTTGTTGTTTAGAGAATAGTAGGATAATTCAGGAATATGAAAATTTTTTCTTGAAGATTAGTTTTTTCTCCAGGTCAGATGTGGCTATGTGAGAGATGTGCCTTCTTAATCTGCCCCAATTACCTGTAGATTATTGAGGTGCTTTTTGAGGCAAGATTAAAGAATCAGTAACCAGAGTACTCTTTTATTTTTATGTGATAATTGCTACTTGGACATCCAGGAATACAATCTCCCAAGAGATAAGGATCTTTTTATGCTTTCCCTAACTTTCTCCACAGGACAGATTAAATTGGATGCAGAGAGTAGGTCTGATACAGGGAAAAAATTATTCACACTTTGAACTATTCTGACAAATCTAGGCCTGAATGAATATTGAGTTAAGGATGGCTGACATTATTTCATAATATTGTGACATAGTACTATAGTATGGGGAAAGGGTTTCACCCTGTCCTATTTTTGATCTTGGAGGAGTGGTATTTTTCACCTGTGTCTGGTGGACACTGAAAAAAAAAAAAAACCAGAGGTAGGGGAAGAATTCAAAAATACATCAACAAGAAAAATGCATTTGGCTTAATGGTACTGAGCTTTGTAGTCTTTTATTCAGTACCAGCAACATAGCTGGTACTGAATATAGCAGCAACATCTTACAGGAAAATAAGTTGCTGAAATAAATGAAGACAAAAGAGAAATAAGAGAAATCTGATTTGATACATTACTGTCTTGAGCATTTCTTTAGTTGATGTACTACTTGATTTGCATTCAGTACTCAAAAATGTTGACAGATACAGAATTCACCTTATAGAATATCTACAGGATATCATGTAATATCTTCTAATTTTCAAAACTGAAAAAAAAAGTGTGGGCCTTCTTTTTTTTTTTTTTTTTTTTTTTTTTTTTTTTTTTTTTTTTTTTTTTTTTCTGGAATCTCCTTGGAAGTTCTCATTCCATTTTTATTTGTTTTGATGGTGTATATTTTTGCCTGGTCAAGCTCACTTGTAGTATGTACCAAAATAAGACTATGAATTATTAACTTCACTGAATACACAATTTTGGAAGCAGGAACTCTGGGTTTTATGTTTGGGGTTGTTTTGTTTTGTTTTGGTTTTTTTTTTTTTCCATTTAATTTTTCTCCTATGTAACTCAGCTGTAGTGTTGGGCATAGTAGAAAGTAGGATATTCCTGTTACTATATGTTGATCACCATACAACACAAAGATCCCTCACTGAAACTGATAACTTTAGTGACCTACTATAATTTAGAGGCGCTTCTGACAAATGCCAAAAATTAGCAGTGCTAAATTTGTGTGGGAGAGGGACAGATTATGTTTTGCAAATTTTAATTCCCCAGCAAGATTTAAGCTCTTATTTCACTATAGATAGTCAGAAGAACTGGAAATTGTCTCCACTAAAATGTTCTAAGTATCTCCCTTTCCTTAAGTTTTTCAGTTTATAGCTTTCATGGTCAAAAATTCTTCAACATTTTAATTTTTCTTTGTATTAACACATTTATGAAAAACATGTAGTAAATCATTATAAGTAAAGACAGTTGATAATGATATTGAAATCTAAGACAGAAATACAAGTACTGGTAGCATTTCCAACCATCAGCAAATTTTCAAGTGGCAAATCTTCTGGAACAACTGGCACAGTTGTTTTCATAGTGAAATAGTATGGAAACCTTTTGACTAGGCACCTATCTGACTTTGGAGGAGAATTCAAGATAGGCACGTTGCATCTTTCTTCAGTAAGAGACATACAGAAACTTGTACTTCATTTTCAATAAAAAAGAAAATAAAATGGACTTGCTCAAAATCAACACTACACACAAAAACATTTCTCTTTCCTACTAACCATCTTGAGTCTGGGGTCCAAGAACCCCTGATCCCTGTGCTGAAGACCCATCAATTAATTTTGGTGTTGATGCTTCATCCTCAGTTTCTTCTGTCAATGGTGCAGAAGAATAACTCTCTTGAAGTACAGAATGTAGTTTTGTCCCAATATCTGTCTAGGAAAAATTAAAAGGAATTGTTACTGTTTATTTCCCTTGGAAGCTGTTTCTCTTCCAGTTATTCATATTCTTCCACTAGAGGTCACATGTTTTCTGAGATTTAGTGCTGGAGCTGCATTTTATCCAGGAGCTATAATGAATTCTGATGATATATAAACAATTCATGAAAACCCAACACACATGTTCACTTTTTGTCTCTGTTTTGTGTTTTTAATGTATGCACACATGCATAAAATTCATTACTGAGAATATACTAGCAAATTATTTTTCCATATTTATTTAAAGATAAATTAGATTTGTGATAAAAATTGACAAACTGTATGTAAAAAATTAAAATTTGCTGTGAAATAAGAAAAAGGGGGCAAGTTATTTACCATAAAATTGTAAATAGTACCATCATAAATCCAAATCCAATGTAGGTGTGCAGGTTCTACTTAGAACACTAACATGATTTTAAAATATTACTAAATAATTCTGATCTCCAACTTCACATACAACTTTCAAATATGTTAAAGACTCTGGTTAACTTCATTCATTAGTAGCTGTATTATGTAGTATGAAAAAATTGATATAGATAAAATATTGGATAAAAACTTGGTTTTAAAACACTTATAAAATTTGGAAGATCCTTGAATGGAACTAGAAAACTTTTTTTTTTTTTTTTTTTTTTTGTCCTTCATTCAACATAACTAATCAAAACAGTAAATTTTGTCAGGTTATCCCTAATTCTAAAAATGCATTCTGTTGATTTTCCTATGTGATGATTCAGGATAAAAATTATGATGTAGCAATTTTCTTGTTTCACATCACTGCACATAAAAAGAGTATTGCAGACTTGCCAGGCTTGTTGCAGAGGGGTCTGTGTTAGCAAAGAGGCAGAGTTGTTTTCTGTAATCACCCAGACATAGTTGTGTGATCTTTGCAAGTTACTTTCCCACTGTATCTTCATTTCCCCATGAGCAATAACATTGTTCTGCTGAGCCAGAGCCCCTTTTGAAAGTGCACTCTTTATTCTTTAAATCTAACACAATTAATTAGTGTCATTACAGGGTTTTTCATATCTGAGGTGCTGTTAAAAATGTAGGTAATTGTGGAGACCCTGGGGGGCATCCCCTCTGTTAGGGGGACAAGAATTTTCCCCAAAAAGCTGTTAAGACCCCGTTGGCTGCTACCCCTTTTCCTATGTCTGTTCCTATGTCCCTGAGCCACTCCTTCCCTATTCCCTGATTGGTTCTCATCTTTGTACTGCCCCGAGACCAGGTTCACCTCGGCTAGAGAGAAACCTGGGCCCACCATGTGTGTACCTGGGACCTGAACATCTTACGGGCAGCTGAATAAAACATCTGTGGTTACCATGCAAAGGCCCTTTTTGATTCCTTACCCTGAACTTTACTAGCAGCAATTCAGGCTGCAACAGGTAATGCATTTAACCCTGTGAGTGCTGCACCCCTGTGTTGCAGTTAGCACTCCTTATCTTTTTCTAAGACACAACCAAATACAGGAATTTTGTCACAGTATCATCATTCCAAGTGCAAAGGCACCAAAGCCCAAAATTCTGCTTCAGTTTTCATCCACTGCAGTTTTCTAGCACAATACCACTACAAAACTACTGAATCCTGAGTCTTTCACCTGACCAAGCATCTCCTTTTTTGACACCATCCCACAGCTACTGCTTTCTTTGCTGTCTTCATGAAGAACCAGTCATTAAAATCAATCACAGTAGTGTTCATAAATTCTAATTGTAAAAGACAGGTAAAAAGTAATTGACTGGCCAAACAGTTAGAATTTTTAAAATTTGATTTTGTATGTAGACTATAGAAGTTAAAGGAACTAAAACACCTAACATCTGGATTCCAAGCATAGGCAAGTCTTTGCTGTATTTGCATCTCTCTGTATGTGTATATATATATATATGTAACCAGCAGCTAAAGGGATGTGATTGTGCCCTTCTACTATGTTCTTGTGAGACCCCACCTGCAGTACTGCATCCAGCACTGGAGTCTCCAGCACAAGGAGGACATGGGCCTGTGTGGAGCAAGTCCTGAGGAGAAGCTGAAGACAGGCTGAGAGAGTTGGGGTTGTCCAGCCCAGAGAAAAGTAGCTTTTCATGCCTAAAGGGGACCTACAAGAAAGCTGGAGACTTTTTAGAAGGATATGTAGTGATAGGACAAGGGAGAATGGCTTGAAGCTGAAACTTTTATGTTATTAAATTCTTTACTGTGAGGGTGCTGAGGCATTGGAAATGGTTGCACAGAGAAATTATGGATTCCCTTGTTCAAGGCAAGGTTGGATGGGTGGATGGGGCTTTGAGCAACATGTGCTAGTTCAGTGTCCCTGTCCATGGCATTGGGGTTGGAAGTAGAATATCTTGGTCCTTTCCAACACAAACAATTCTATAATTCTATGACCTGTGAAAATTTTGGGAAAAACCACTTCACTTCTCATAATAGACTGTCTTGCAGCATAGCTGTATATAATTACTTCAGTATTAAGCATTATGATCCTGGATTGCCTCAGAACATCTAAGTAAATACCTAAAATCTAAATTTTTTTGTACATAAATAATTTGGTTTAGGTTATATAATGGCAATAGGCTCAAATATTTTATATCAATTAGTTTTCCTGAAAATAGAGAACATGAAAGCAATAAAAAAACAGTAAGCACTCTGAACCACACAGGCTCAGATTTTGACTAAGAACATTTTAGGTTTTCTGTATATTCTTTAGTTGTATTCTACTAAGCCACAGATGCTATTACTAATTAGAGTTTATAGATAAAAATGCCCCAATACAGTTACCAAGGTCATAACCTCACAAAATGCAAGGTAATCAAATGAGCAGGATGACCTTCAGCTGAACTGAGTAACTTGAGTTGATGTGAGTAAGGATGTACCTTGTCCTTCTGTGCAGACAAATACACAATGTTACCATCTGCAACATTGACAGTAGACAGCTTAACCAGGAATGGACTTGGGGACAAATCAAAAGAAGGCTTTGGGAACAAAGGAAATGGGACAGCTGTTCTCCGAATGGAGGAAGCCTAGAGGGAGAGATACATTCCAGACTTTTATTGACCCAGGTTAGTGCTGCTCTAAAGTTCTTGCACATGCTGTCTACTTCTTCACCAGATTTGTGAAAATCAGATAAGAATCCCTCTTCTGAACTTCAGAATTAAATCCAGAGATTTAAGATCTGTTAATGCCTTTATAGGCAACTTTTGTTCTACTGAAAGTAATATTCTATAGAAGAGTATTTTCAAGATAGGCTTTGTAAATAGGCTTCAGACAAAAGATAATTTTCCTTTCACTTGTTATGGGGTTTGGGTCATCTACACTGACTGCCACCTCTCTGCATATTTGGGGCATGCTTTATGGAACTTACTACCTTGGGATTTGTCATTTATTTTATGCTTTCTGAGGCTTCTTAGTTGATTAATCACTGCAGATGTTGGGTAGCAAAGCAGATGTGTTAACCTCTAGTACTTCCATTTCTACACTGTTATCTCTTTCTTAGGATGTTACCTAGATTTGCAGATACACAGTTGAGAGTCTCCGAGCAGTTTCCCTGCAAATGCACTATGTCTGGGGTTTAGGGAAACTGTTCCAAATAGTTAGCTTTAGCTATTCAGTGTTCTGCAGTTGTGAGTGTCATAAGAAAATAAAAATGATTGATGTTAACTTAATGATGTTGCAATTTTTATACTTGCAACAGAGTAGGAGTTCATTGATATATATGTTTTACATAACAGACCCAGAGCATGAACAGTATTTTCTTGCTGTACATAACTTGGACTTGAACCAGTGACCTAAAGGTAAAAGTCTGTTTCCCATTATTGGTCATCTGATCCATGCAGCTTTGTATCTTTTACAAGTTTGATAAATCATGCGAGATTGTAACAAGACAAAGATGTTTGTTGGACTATATGCTGTACAGAATAATCTCTCATTTTCCAGATGTTTATTTATTTTTGGCAAGTGGACTTTAATTAAAAAAAAAAGTTGAAACATAAATGATTGTATAACACTTAATGGCATTATTTTCCATAAGGTTTTTTGGAGGGAGGGGTAGCCTGGAATTAGGCAGGGAGTGGACTTGTATTTCATCTGGAAGAACATTGTAGAGAAATACAGTAAAGTGTGTTTCTCCTAGCCAATATCTACAAGTCTTCAAATAATAATCTGCCTTCCAAGACAGTTTTAATACACTGTATAAGAAAAAACTGAAGGGGTATCACATCACCTATCTTTAGCCCTCTATGTAGTTAATAGTTACCCTACTCTGTCTTTGGAATCAATCAAGAGATTTAGAGAATATCAGTGCAGATTAGTCCCAGAGCATACCAAAGGACAGTGATATCTTTCCTAAGATTGCCTGGAGTACCTACTTTTTCCCCCATCCTATATTTATCCAATGTGACCCCATTTTCTAATGAAAGTTCTTAGTGTGGCTGGCCAATTCAGAGGCACTTTCAGACCAAGAAATTACAAAAGTCAAGAATGCAGAAATCAGAACACATGAGTAAGTGATAAAATGCAATTGGTAAAATCCAACTTGCAACTTGCCATCCGTAGGCTGGGCATTTAGTTTATATTAGGATTGCTTCACAGTCAGTACAGAATGAGACAAAACTTCTGAAAAGCAGCTCCAGACATTGGCTACAGAAATTCCTTTTAGGGTGGGCTCTTTAGTTATCTATATCTCACCACTGACAGTAAAAGAGGCGAGACAAACAAAAGACTAGGAGAGGCTCAGGAGATTTTTATGTCTTTTTTATGTGTCTATTTTATGTCTACATCTTTTAGGATCAAAACTCATGTATTACATGTGATAAGTTTAAATCCACAGGAGAATCTGATGTGTGTTCTGTTTCAGTGTTTCTTTTACTGCAAAAAAATACATTTAATATACAAATAAAAATTCAAAACTTAAAAAGAGGCATTTTAACCTTGAAGGAACAGTCGTTCCACACACTGACCCATCAAAAGGAGCTGGTTACT